GGCGTGTTCATTGACTGCACGTCCACAAGCATGACCTTACACTTTGTGGGTGCAAATTCATACCAAAGGACGGGATGACTTTGGTCAGTTCATCCAAGAATACTTGCGCCTTTTCCTCTTCTTCGAACATGAGAACGATGTCGTCTGCATATTCCAGATCGACAAGGTTTTCTTCACTGGCTATTTGAACACCAGGGTTTTGGAGACCCTCCAGCGTTCGTCTCATTATTTCATCGATCACAAAGTTAAAAAGGAATGGAGAGAGTGGGCATCCCTGACGGACACCGCTTTGTATGCGGAAGCTTTTGGAGAGCTCTCCGTACATTTTCACACGTCCGGAAGTCTGAGAATACAAAGAGCGTATTATGTTTACAAACTTCCGAGGCATTCCTTGGTGGGCAAGCGTCTCAAGAAGAACAGACCTACCAACCGAGTCAAATCCGCCTCGGAAATCCAGGAATACTAGAATCGTGGGTCGCTTATACGTATGGCGTTGTTCTAGCACCTGATGCAGTGTGAAGATTCGGTCAACACAACCCCTACCAGGCCGGAATCCCGCTTGCTGCTCTCGAGTCAGTATCTCACGAGCCACCCTAAGGCGACGAAGTTGACGCGACGCCAACAGTCTCGTTACAACCGGGGTCAAGCTGATGCTCCTGTGGTTACCAATATCTTTGTTTAGTTCACTACTTCGAGACAAATACGTCTCGTTACAACCGGGGTCAAGCTGATGCTCCTGTGGTTACCAATATCTTTGTTTAGTTCACTACTTCGTTCCTAGACAAATACAAACCAATAATGATACGTTCTTTTCAGTAACACTGGTTTTCTTCACGGTGCCATTCTATTCCTACTTATTTTTACACGCCATAACGATGCTCTCCTGGCCTTCCACTCGCTAAACTTCTCACAGTCAGACGACTCCATTTTGTTCCGTCATTCCCGTATTATCCGACATTAATCATCCTGACATTCTACTTCAGAATACATCTACAAACCCCTGAGGTCGTCAAAATGACCTTTTCATGCCACCAGTTTTGTTCCTCGTAGGAACTCCACAGAGCGTCCTCTCAACCATGCGTATGTATTCACTGACCAATTTCTGTGTCCCTTGTGCGTTCCCCTTGAATTTGCACTGCTGTCTTGTTGTTTCTCCTGGCTTAATTAAGTGCTTGTTTGAGCAAACGAGACCCGAAATTCATTCCCCATGTAAGTCTAATTCTCATTTCCACGCATAGGTGTCGCCTTCTAGCTATTTCGTTTTCTCTGTTCGCTATTTCGCTCACATGTATATTGAGTGACAGTATGCTGATATCATGTCACTCAGGCACCTATGCATCCGCATTTGTCACGGGCAATTCGTCATCGCTTTCCAGTTATGACTTGTAAACTATGAGCTCTACCACTGTCACCATCATCGACCGTTAGCAGCAACTACTCAGGTCATAGCAAATAGATCCCGAAAAGAACTCTTCCGATTCAAATAGCACCCGTTCGCACGCTTCTCGCTTTTTCAAACATATCCCGATTAGAAACCATAAAGCTGGAAGCATAAGCAGAACAGCAATTATGAAATGAATATCAGAGAGCATCGCTTAACCAGTATCGTGACCTCCTTCGCCATTGTTCTAGATCAAGAATGCAGCGGAAACTGGATAATGTCGCGCCCGCGATCAAAACTAATGGGGCAAGTGAGGCAGAGATATTGGTGACCTAGCCGCTCACTGAGTTCCACATGAAAACCGGTGCCAACGCGCGATCTGTGCCCGAAAAACCGTATTTAACCTGATAACGCATGTACACCCAATATATCAGATTGTCTTCATCTAACGTACACGTACACATTCAGTTCTCTATTCGTCTGTGGATCACTAGTCTATTTTCCATGTTGACCGAAAAGTGACTGCTGATTCCCTGTACCCTCTGTCTGCGCAAGACACCACGAATTAAATCCGGTGTTAAGCTAACCTTCATTCTAATGGGGCGATTCCCACAACAACTAGCGATAATATGCAGTAGTACAGCAGTTGCTCAGTATTCAGCGTATCTAGGACACCACATCCGACTTGTTCAAACTAGCGTAGAGCACTAAGAGCAGGTACACGTGCAGGGATTCTTCAGTTGTTTTATACTGTAACAGAAAACTCTTCTATCCAAATTTCTGGAATTCGAACACAGACTCTAGTTGAACTTCACAATACCTTGAAGATAGTGACCATAAGTTGTCTAAACAACGTGATTAAGTGATGATTAGGTTTTTGGTGATGGTGACTCCTAACTCAGAGAGCAGTCGATGTGCGTCACTGAAAACAACAACAAAGGAGAACACTGGTGCTTCATTGCCGTAGCGTAGTATGTACAATGTGTATTTTTTAGTGCGGTATCAGTGTACATAGAAACTGGAGGCCGTGTAATGTAAGGTAAAACACAAGGTAAAAAGTAATATCTTATATAGCATCTTAAACGGCATCGGTCGCAGCCTCTTCGTCGTCTTCACCATCCACATCACTCAGCACGCCGGATTCATAAGATCCCTCATTCTCACCATCATCGCTGCTCTATAATGTTGAAAAAAATATAATTTAGGTTCAAGAGATACACAGAACCTGGGATAAAAGAATGCTGAATAATGAGGCCCAGTAAACTCACATCTTCGTACTCCTCATAGTGAGATTCAGAATTTCCGATGGTTCCTACAGTGGGCCGAACAGATCCAGAGCTTGATTCGACTTTGGTGGTTGATGTGTTTGAATTGGAGCCGATCAACTTCTGACTCTTATTGTCCGCATCAACAGCAAGACCCGTAAACGGGCGTTGAATTCCCGCGTTCAAGGACCCCGAGCCGGTAGAAACTGGTGGGCATACTTCGTTGCTTGAAATGTTGTCTTGTTTGCATGTGGGTTGCTTAGAGGGGGATAATTCTTCCACTGTACGACTGCGCTAAAACAACGAACAAAAAATAATCCACACAAGAATGAGAAAGCACGAGTCAATCTTATTCACTAGCTACTGCGCATACAGTTAATCTGCTACTGAGGTAAGATATCCGTCCGTAGAACTGATAACATGCTTAGGACGCGTGCTGAAGAACGCTCACAAGAATAAGTTTTCTTGGGGCCAAATGTACTTTTCGAGAGTTTTCGAGAGTCATCAGTAAGTAGTGTAGTAAGTAGTGTCATATCGAGCGACCACACTTATCAGTTTTTCCACATGAGAACTGAAGGTGCTCACTGAGGGATTCAACTACCCACATAATTCAAATCAAGCTCGACACCAGTAACTATGCTCAGCTTCACGCTCTACTATGACGTTGGATCTCGAGTTTTAGAACATCCTAAGCAACAGGAGTTTTTGTACGAAGGTAAGTGAGTTGGCTTGGCACCCGCTCCAACAAAAATTTGGACTCACCTTGGCAGGTATACCGAGGTCGGTATTCGAGTCACTAGGACTGCGCCTGCGTTGTACAGGCTCAGTTGTACCCGGAGCGTTTTTCCGCTGGTCCGAACCAGTTGTCTGAGCTAACGAGGACGGTACGGTTGTGTAACCTGCTTCCTGGACAAATCAGTTCGAACCAAAAGAATGAAATACCTGGAAAGTTTTGGAATGCACTTTCTGTTTGATCTGGTCTAATGTTTTTGTTTCTATGGATTGTGCAATTTTTTCCAAATCATTTCCGAATCGGACTATTGCTGCCTTCAATTCGTTTATTTCTTCGGTTGTCCACTTGGTATTTGACTTTTGATCAGAAGTGTTCTGCTGAGCCTGGGACAACTTAAGCTCAAGAGTCAAGTGGGCAAGTCTGCCAAAAGCGGCTGAGGCCTGCTGAAAAATTTCAGAAACTCGAGATGCGTTGGCCATCGCCAGTGGATGGTAAAGCTACAAAATTCAAAGATACATAGCAGTTGACAGCAGCATTAAAAACGTTGATCACCAGCGAAATATTTTACCATTCAAAAAAATCTCGAACAGAAGGATGAAAATTAGCAAGGAAATTTCAATTTTTAAATTTATCAGCCATAAACCGTACACCATAGCCACATTGGTCCCAGCTGTTACAGTTTCGATCACCGGAATGTGGGAGAGTGGGGGACGTACAGACAAGCCTTGGAGGCGATGACATGTTCAATTCGTCCAGGAACTGGGTAGCTACGCACTGAAGGCAATGCCTCCAATGCACGAGCGTCACTGGGCCATTTCTGCCAGTGTCGTTAGCCATGGGTGAGTTGAGTCCCGTGTCCCCATCCAGGGAGGCCGCACTCGTCAACCCGAATGTTCATTGGTTAGTGTTCTCGTACTTCGTCGCCAGGTCATACACTGTCCATCTCTCGGTCACTTTCATCCAGCACAGGGCTGGGAGCGAAAAACAGCTGTGCGAGGGAGACGGTCTCCTGACATGCGGGGTATATGTCGCCATCAGCATAACCTAAGAAGCGTAAGTAATTCATCTGTCGCGGGAGAGTCCCATCTGACATACCTGAGCATTACTAATCCGAAGTTCCCACCAGACCCGACTAACGCTTCGGTGAGACCGACGATCAAACAACGATATCTTTCGTATGTCCTCTGAGCGTACAGGCCACTTCTCTAATCCATAAAACAGTATGGATCGCACTGCTACTGTATAAACTCTGCCCCTAACAGACAAACTGACGTCGCCTCTGTACCATTGGTGTCGGAGGTTAGCAAAAGCTGTCCTGGCTTTCCCGATCTGAGAAGTAATCTCATCTCCAGCCAGTCCACCGGTACTTGTACAACTGCCCAGGTAAAAAAACTATCTATTACGTCAATTGACTGGCCTGTAAGCATGAGGTTTGGGTTTGATCTCACCCAGTCTTGTAGCAGCACTTTACATTTTGCAGGTATGAAACACATCCCAAACCGTGCGGCAGGGTTTATTTAAGTTATTTAAAATGGTTAGCATTTTTGAAGGATCTGAATCAAGAAGAGCAACATCGTCCGCATACTCAACGTTTGTGAACGAAAGTCTCGGGAGCATTTCAACCCCCGAGATGTTATAGGCAGGCAGAGAAATTTCAAGTAGCACATAAAAAAATGGAGAAGGCGGGAGAGTGGAGCCTTGTCTTACGCAACTGGACGTGATGAACTCAGGCGAAAGTTTGTCGTATACTCGTACGCGCCCACAAGACTTCGCATACAGAGCTCTCATAGAGGATATAAATTTGTTACGGACACCTCTGATCGCCAGACACTACCAAACTTCCTGACGATCGACAGTCAAAAGCAGATTTCAGATCAAGAAAAACGACCACAGCCTGAATAAGTGGCACTGTTTAAGAAATTGTTTCAAGATGAAGATATGGTCGATGGATCCTCGACCAGGGCGAAACCCAACTTGATTCACACGTGTCTGTCTCACCCGATAATCCACCAAGCTGCGGAAAATAATGCTAGAGAACACCTTAGAAGCGAAGGATACCAAGTTGATACCACGATGGCTTACGCACTAGGTTCTTGCGCCCTTTTTGAAAACTGAGCTAAAGGGCGAAGAGTCCCAAATTTTCTGCAGTGTGGTTGTCAGACTGCTTACCAGGACTACGCCACCTTCTTTGAAGAATTCTGGGTGCAGACCGCCAAGGCCAGGTGCCTTATGGTGTTGTAGGGTTGCAATCAGACACTGGATTTCGGTTGATGATGGTGGACCGGTGTCAATGTTTCATTCGGTTTAGCCGGGTTTTTTCAGCGGTTATGTTTAAGAAGACCCGCTGAGCTGTTATTTGAACTGTTCAATCCACAGCTCAAGATGACGGTTGTGTAAGTGAATTGCCCTATCGTCTTTCTCGCATATCGTCTCGTTGACGATTGTCTCCTTCTGAACGGTTGGTCGAATCAGTTGTTGCCTGCAGCGAAAACCTTTTTCATACCCTGGGCCTTCGAAATCCACCAGAATTCTTCGCCACTCTTCAAGCTCCTGACTATCCGGTTTTTGGAGGATCTAAGCATCCCATCAAAGTGGCTAGCTGACGGTATGGACTGTCTGGCTGCAATAAGATCTGCTGATGGCAAGCAGTTCTGAAAGCCGAGAGCATAGTCTCTTTAACCCGCTTCCATTCTACTCCAAATCTTCGTCATCCGCACGACTGTGCGTCTCTAGCAGCTTTCTAGTCAGATCAGTTTGGTACTCTAGAGCTACTGAAAATTGTCAAAGTTATTGAATGGAGCTGATCTACTTAAGCACACATCTTGCTGACAGAAGCGAGGTGATTTGTTTCAAGATGAAGATATGGTCGATGGATCCTCGACCAGGGCGAAACCCAACTTGATTCACACGTGTCTGTCTCACCCGATAATCCACCAAGCTGCGGAAAATAATGCTAGAGAACACCTTAGAAGCGAAGGATACCAAGTTGATACCACGATGGCTTACGCACTAGGTTCTTGCGCCCTTTTTGAAAACTGAGCTAAAGGGCGAAGAGTCCCAAATTTTCTGCAGTGTGGTTGTCAGACTGCTTACCAGGACTACGCCACCTTCTTTGAAGAATTCTGGGTGCAGACCGCCAAGGCCAGGTGCCTTATGGTGTTGTAGGGTTGCAATCAGACACTGGATTTCGGTTGATGATGGTGGACCGGTGTCAATGTTTCATTCGGTTTAGCCGGGTTTTTTCAGCGGTTATGTTTAAGAAGACCCGCTGAGCTGTTATTTGAACTGTTCAATCCACAGCTCAAGATGACGGTTGTGTAAGTGAATTGCCCTATCGTCTTTCTCGCATATCGTCTCGTTGACGATTGTCTCCTTCTGAACGGTTGGTCGAATCAGTTGTTGCCTGCAGCGAAAACCTTTTTCATACCCTGGGCCTTCGAAATCCACCAGAATTCTTCGCCACTCTTCAAGCTCCTGACTATCCGGTTTTTGGAGGATCTAAGCATCCCATCAAAGTGGCTAGCTGACGGTATGGACTGTCTGGCTGCAATAAGATCTGCTGATGGCAAGCAGTTCTGAAAGCCGAGAGCATAGTCTCTTTAACCCGCTTCCATTCTACTCCAAATCTTCGTCATCCGCACGACTGTGCGTCTCTAGCAGCTTTCTAGTCAGATCAGTTTGGTACTCTAGAGCTACTGAAAATTGTCAAAGTTATTGAATGGAGCTGATCTACTTAAGCACACATCTTGCTGACAGAAAGCGAGGTGATAACCGGGCTCGCACAATGGCATGATCAGAGTCAATTCAGAAGGAAAGATTATCTTTAATTGACACTTTCCACCGGCAACTGATAGCCACATGGTTCAACTCAGTTCACGAGAGTCTTGTGGTTGGCGACTTCGGGGTAAATCGATGTGAGCGTTTGTGTTCGTACCGGCTGGCGATGTGCGAACAACTGGAGCAGTCGCTTCCCATTATCCCTACGCTGAGCATCAACTCCAAATCAACCACATAACTGTGTTTCTTTCGGACTCAGTCGTCCAACTCCGGCATTCGCACCACCCGTTAGGATTACCATATCCGTCTTACTTGCTGACCCAAGCTGACATATCTCGATAAAACCCGCTCTATTGTCCCAAAACTCCAGTCTGTCGGGTTGTATGTTGATACGACAAACCGAAGCTGTTCACAGCATCCAACTGCATTGATTTTAATTGAGCCAGACAAGGACGACGGTTTACTTAGATCGGGTCCAGTAAATTGTGGGCAACAAGGGTAGAACATTCGCTTGTGTTCAGTAGTGGGTATTCTTCATCGACTTTTATTGCAGCCCATGGGTAAACGCTAGGCTGTTTTAAAGTATACAACACTTTGGCATGCACTTTTTTCCCATTTCGGTAAGAGCGAGGGATTTCGACTACCCTGGCGTATGTGCGTAACATAAAAGTCGTATGGGTTCATTCCTCAGGAGTCCGAATTTTGAAGAGCAGTTTCTAATCCTCAATCAAGCGACAGATACTGTGGTTAGGAAGCATCAGAAATGCTACCATCCAAGGCAAACCGTCTTTTGTTACCGCTATTCTGATGGCCTCTAACGTTCCAACATCCTTCTAACAAACTTCAATAGATAGTCCTGTAGAGTACCTGATTGATGTATGCCAGTCGCCGATAGTTTCTTTGAGTTACCAGGCTCCAGAGGAGTGGGTGGTCGTGAACCAGCCCAGTATTTCGTAGACCGCATGGACCATGATGACGCTGACGGACACTCTGAAAGGATGTGCTGTTCGGCTCTGCTTTTTACGTCTCTCGAGTCTACGTATGGTGCGCGCATCCAGCTTATTCGTTGAGAAAGTAAAGTAAAGCCTAAAGTCAAGTAAATGCATCACAACCGCGTACTTCACCACCAGCTGACCTGCTTTCGGTTGAGTTGTCGTTATAACGGAGGGTCCTGATCCTCACGCGATCCTGTGATCTTTCCGTGCAATAAACCTCAGCCGGTCTTATCGGAGCATTGGATCTGACTGAGTTCACTGGGTCACAGAACAAAAATACAACAAGCAGCGACAGTTCAACTCAACGCATCATCGCACACAGCTCGGTACATCCGGAGGATTGTCATATGGACCAGTAAAGGTGTCTCAGGCCCTCTAACTCATACGCAGAGTAGAACTCGTGGGCGCATTGTCTTCTATGTGTTGTATCTGTATACTGACGCTCTGCTACTTGCTTTCCCGAACTCTGCCTCTCCACTTCCCCCGTCTAGGCTTAGGGGGCCTGGCAGTATCCCAGCCCTCGTCCCTCTTTCGTATGGCATGGCAGCTAGGCACTGAAAGGGTTCTACAGCTCAACGATACTGGCGCAAAATGATATGATACTTCGTCAGAAGTTACAGACCTCTCCCACACTGTTCGCCAAGTCTCAGAAAAATTATTTCCACATATCATAATGGCGCCGGCTCCAATGCCAGAAGACGCAGACCTACTGAGATTGAAGCAAA